TACTCAATCTTTATGTATTGTTGTTACTTACTGAGTTGGCGTACTCACGTTACTCCCTGCACCTTGTGTGCAGATCCAGGTGTAGCTGGACACGGTAGCGGTTATTGATTGTTCTGATTGCAGATTTTCTCGGGGATAGCAAAGTAGCTGCCTGGCGATCGCAGCCCTGCTCTTCTCCCTCTTATCTTCCTCTAGTTGTATTTAGCTATTTTCTAGGATGAGTTAGCCTTGATATTGTTAGATAGATTGTGGTAGATGCTCATGACTAGTGACACCCCGATATCGGGCTTTTCTTTTCTGCACTTTTATTTGATTTGAACTCCTTTACGAAGGTTTTTATGTTAAATAACATTGAAATTATCTTTGAAATGAAAATATCGGTTTGTTTTTTACATGAGTCGGCTTACCTAGTTCCACGATAGGCGCCATCACGACAGGGGTTAGTTTGGGTCGTGACAGCGTATGCCCGGAATCGAATTCTGAGTTCCCTAGCTCGAGATATGAATTTTTGATGGAAAATTAAAAGTTAAAAGTTTAATGATTTTAAGAATTTACTGATGTTTGTTTTTGGTGATATCGGGTCAGTATTTTGGTTTCGAAGCTCGGTATAGGTCCACTATAATTTTTATGACTTGTCTGTCAAATTTGGTGAGAAGCAGAGTTGATTTGACGTGATTCGGACGTTCGGTTGTGAAAATAGAAGTTTTAAAGTTTTCTTGAAAATTTCATTTGATTTGGTATCCGATTTGTGGTTCTAGGTGTTATTTTGGTAATTTGATCGCGCAAGCAAGTTCGTATGATGTTCTTGGACTTATGTTCACTTTTGGTTTAGAGCCCCGAGGGCTCGTGTGAGTTTCGGATAGGCTACGGGATAATTTGAACTTAGAAAGTTTGTTGGTTTTCACTTATGCTGGTTTCTGGTGTTTCCTTCTACGCGGTCGCGAATATACTCCCGCGATCGCGAAGGGTAAAAAGGGACGGGGGAGGTTTTGTTGTACGCGAACGCGAAACCTTGGTCACGAATGAGGAGCATTAGGGGGCCTGCTCTATGCAAACGCGACCAGCCACACGCGAACGCGTAGCGTTAGATAGCCGGGGCATGGAAGTTGAGGTAACTCTACGCGAACGCGAGCCCAGTCTCGTGAATGCGGAGGTGAGGTGGGCTAGATCTTCACGAACGCGTGGAGTTACTCACGATCGCGTAAGCCAGTTGGCCCATGCTCTTCGCGAACGCTTCAGGTTTCACGCGAACGGGATGAACACCTGACGCCAGTGACTTAAAACAGTCCCAATTATAGGATTTTTCCATTCTTTCAAAAATTTCAAAACTAGAAGACCTAGAGGCTATTTTCCTAAAAGCTTTTCTTCCCCAATTTGTTGGTGAGTGATTCTAACCTACTTTCTTTCAATTACCCACTACATTTCATGAGTTTTCAACCTAAAATCTAGGATTTCATGGTGGAAGTTGGGGGTTTGGGTAGAATTAGGGATTTTTGCATAATTGGGATTTAGACCTCGAATTAAGGTCGGATTTCGAAATACATTATATAATCGGGCTCAGGGGTGAATGGGTGAATGGATTTTGGTCCGAACCTCGGGTTTTGACCAAGCGGGCTCGGGGTCGATTTTTGACCTTTTGGGGAAAAGTTTGGGAAATCTAAATTTATGTATTGTAATTGATTTCTTTAGCAATATTTGATAATATTGAGCCGTTTGTGGATAGATACGAGTGATTTGGAGGTGGATTCTAGAGGAAAAGTTATAATTGAGCATTGAGTGGCATGTGGAGCGAGGTAAGTGTTGTGTCTAACATTGACTTGAGGAAATTAGGAACCCTCGAACTATTTGCTATGTGAAATTCATGTGAGCGGCATATATGTGAGGTGACGAGTTCTTATACGCCGCCAATTTATCTGTTTTTCCCTAATTTTCCATTTTCTCATATTATCTCTTTCCCTGTCATAATTGTTACATGCTCCCATTTGTGTTCCCATGCCAAATTGCTACTTGTTAGACATTGTTTTCTCTTATTCATGATATTGTTCTTTCCATAGTTCCATTATCTCCTATTATTTGCTTAAGCTATTTTGCCGGTACCTTTCTGCTGTATATTCTGAATTAGTCTCGCTGTGTAGCATTACTTATGTGAACTTTCACCCAAAATCGCCTCAAATCCGAGCTCCAAATCATCAAAAACTGAAAATGGGACGAAATCCCATTTTCAGAACTTAAACTCACTCCCCAGACTTTTCTTCTTCGTGAACGCGGTCAGTGCCTCGCGTTCGCGAAGCACAAAATGCCTCTGCCTCAATGCCTTCTATGCGAACGCGGTCAGTGCCTCGCGTTCGCGAAGCACAAAATAACTCTCGTCCCAATTCCTCTTTTGCGAACGCGACATCAACCTCGCGTTCGCGAAGCACAAAATGCCTCTGCCTCAATGCCTTCTATGCGAACGCGGTCAGTGCCTCGAGTTCGCGAAGCACAAAATAACTCCCGTCCAAATTCCTCTTTCGCGAACGCGACATCACCCTCACGTTCGCGAAGCACAAAATGCCTCTACCTCAATGCCTTCTACGCGAACGCGATGCTTCGTCCCTCTCACTACGCAAACACGATACCCCCTTACGCGAACGCGTAGACCAATTGCATGGGGTCTTCGGCTGCTTCCTCTCTTCTTCGCGAACGCGTAACACCTCTCGCGTTCTCAATGCACACCCAGCCCACCCTTCGCGAACGCATGCTTCTCTTCGCGAAGAGCAAATATTGCCAGTCTCCCAGTTCCTCTTTGCGAACGCGAGGCTCCACTCGCGAACGCGATAAAGGAAACCAGATGGTGCATCAGAAAAATTCCAGTAGAGTTCCAAGTCCAAAATCCAACCCGTTAACCATCCAAAACTCACCCGAGCCCCTCGGGACCTCAATCAAATATACCAACAAGTTCTAAAACATCATACGGACTAAGTCGAACCCTCAAATTACCTCAAACAACGCTAAAACCATGAATTACACCCCAATTCAAGCCTAATGAATTTTGAAATTTCTAATTTCTACAAACGACTCCTGAACCTATCAAATCACGTCCGATTGACCTAAAATTTTTCACATAAGTCATAAATGACATAATAGAGGTATTCTGATTTTCAAAATCGGATTCCGACCCTGATATCAAAAAGTCAGCCCTCCGGTCAAACTTCTCAAAAATTAAACTTTTAGCATTTCAAGCCTAATTCCTCTACGGACTTCCAAATAATATTTTGGACACACTACTAAACCCAAAATCACCATACGGAACTATTGGGATTATCAAAATTCAAATCCGAGGTCATTTACACATAGGTCCATATTCGGTCCACTTTTCTAACTTAAAATTTTCAATTATGAGACTAAGTGTCTCATTTTACTCCGAGTTCCTTCTGGACCCGAACCAACTAATCCGATATAACATAATATAGTTAAATAACACAAAAAGAAGTAGAAATGGGGAAAACGGGGCTATAACTCTCGAAACGACTGGTCGGGTCGTTACACTTACCAGTACATGGGGTTGGTTGTACTGATACTGCACTCTGCACTTCCTGTGCAGATTTTGGTGCTGGTCCGAGCTGATCGTGAGGTTGGCTGCAAGATTTGTCTGATAGAAGACCTAAAGTAGATCTACCGGCGTCCGCAGACCCTGGCGTCCCCTTCTATACATTATACTTTACTGTTTCTTTCATTTCGAAAATAGTTGTATCTCTTTCAAACCTTTACTTGAAGAAAAATCTTAGAAGTTCGTGAATTGTGACTCCAGATCCGGCCATACTACCTGAAAGCAAAGCCAATGATTACATAATATAAGCAATACAGAAGGAAAAGGCATATTATATATAGTCTTTCACGTATCGTGTTAAGTTGCAAGGTACTTTTGATCATTTCTAATTTAATTGAGTTCCTTTTTTCTTTTTTTGAAATGGCAATAAGGTAATGCTGGAATTTTCAGTTCAAATGACCAAAAAAAGCAAATGTGTAGCCGTCTTCTAATCTTAGAGGAATTCTAGGAATTTCATCATAGTTCTAGTGGCCAGTCCTATATTTACCTTCTTGACATTGTAAAAAAAAAAGTAGTCAGTGTTAACATTTAGTTTATCATTTGTACACTCTTTTTGATGATTGAATATTGGAAAAGAGGCCATCTAGTGCAGAAACATGTATCCCAAGTTGAAGAATGTTGCATAAGAAGATGATAAGCACACATATATTTGCGACATTCTATCTTTCTATTACAGATGTTTGTTGCCACATAAAGATGTTCTCACCGTAATGGAAGTCCAAGTATTTTTTTCTCTACTAGCAATGTCCATAAATTAAGGCTTATCTGTGACTTGGTGTAGCAGAACTGGAAAGTATAAGTAATTTCTTAGCACGATACTACTAGAAATTCGTTATTTTTCGACTATTAAAATAGTCGGAAAAGTACCTATTTCGATTACTTTCCGACTAATTTACAGTAGTCGAAAAACGGTACGTCGGAAAAAACTTTCCGACTACAGTAGTCGGAAATTTTCGACTACTGTAGTCAGAAAGTTTATTCCGCCAAAAATTCGAATAGGGGGCTATTTTTCGACTACAGTAGTCGAAACTTTAAAAAATAATTATTTATTTTAAAAAAATATGTCCGACTACTGTAGTCGGAATATTATATCAATAATAATTATTTATTATTTATATTTATGTTATTTTCCGACCACAGTAGTTGGAATTTTAAATTTTGTGGAAATTTTCAGTGAGGTTTCAGACTATTATAGTCGGAAAATCATAATTTCTGGGCACATTTTCTGACTACAGTAGTCGGAAATCTGGGTTGATGTTTGCCAGAATACTGTCATTTTATTAGCATACCACATGTCAAATGACCAATACAATAAACAACTAATACAACCAATTAATTCAACCAACCAATTCTAACTTCAACCAACTAAGTCCAATTTTAACCAACCAATTCAAATATTCAAACCCCATAATATCAAACTAAAACATTAATTAAAATCTAAATATTCAATATCAAGTCTAAGTAGCAAATAGATATCGACTCTAATATAATAAAGTCTAAACATGTATACCATAACATCTAAACTTACAAATAAAGTCTAAATATAAATTCTAAATACCCAAGAACATTAATCAACCAAAACATACTACTAGACATCAGATTCAGTCTCTTCATCATCATAAGAGTGGGACGTGTGCTTTTTCATGAATTTTGTCACTCTAACAATGTGAACTTTGACTGTTTCACATCGTTCCGACAATATCTTTTGGTGAAATGCATTGAGCCTTCATACAGTGGGCGACTAGCTTCCTGTAGTTGTCCATAAAAGTGCTTAGCCTCATCATTTGGTTTGGAATTTGGTTCGCATTGAGCCCCAGGGAATATCTCAAAAGCATCTCTCATCATTTCATTGAATCGAGAATTTTCAAAATTATTCTCTGCTCTTTTTACTACCCCCACCACCAAATCTGAGAAAATAATACAAATTGAGATATTCTTCTACAGGTTTCCACTTTGAATAATTGTAATACCTTCAACATTTTAACTATGAATGACTCTATAAATTTAAAATTTCACAATAAAAGTTAGGTTGATTACATGAATTCTCTCACACTAGCATTCTCTTTTAATTACTTTTTCAAGATCTTTCAAACATCAGCAGAGTTTTTGACGTATGCTTAATTGTTTTGAAAAAAGATATATAGGTCTTCATGTTTATTAGCTAGCTTCTAGGATTTTTCTTCTCCTCCATGTTTTTCTGATTCTACTTTTGTTTTCTTTTTCTCCTTTGAATTACAAGTAACAACTATAGTGGTATCAACTAAGCGGTTAAGTATGACTATTTTTCTTTCGTTTTTCTGGACATCATATGAATATAAAAAATATGGATCAACATAGTCCTGTTTCTTTTGCACCAAAGTTTCAATGTGACTTGATTTAAAAGAAAATATAGAACTTAAAGTAGAGGAATTTTGTCTCTCCTGAGAACAACGTTCAAGAGATGAAACTCAAAATTGGTGTTATTATTACAATTATACTACTAATAGATATCCTTGAGTAAAAAGTTTCAAATTCCAATCCGTCTGTGTATCTCTACCATCTCATTTACCATATTTTATCAACCTATCTTCTTTTTTTGTTATGGTACTACTAATCTATCTTAACCCAGACAATTATTTTAAGAAAAATAAACGAGTTTTTAAAGAGGTGCAGTTTCGAATTCTTCTTCATCAAGAGAATTAATATCAAGAGATTGCAAGAATTACATCTGACATCATAAGTAAGCTAGGCAAAAAGTTTCACAATGGATATTCGTAGTTCTAGTTCAAGATTAGTTAGAATTGCAAACAGGTAAAGATTTTGTACCTTATAACAACGAAATTACTAATTGAAATGTTATATCTCCTCTCCCTTACAGCTTGCAACTTCCTCTTGTTGGAGACAAATTCCTATACAGTCAACTTCTAATTTCACTCCAAGGAGGCTACCCACTACAGTCAAAATAATCCCAAAATCAAACAAGAATTCCATTCACGAACCTAAAATAGCTCAGCAATCAGCCCCAGTAAACATACCCGATTGGTCAAAATTTAGGGGACGAGCTCAAAAAAAACAAATGATTCCTCAATTCTTCAAAAATGTATTAACAGATAAAACTACTCAATTTACACTAAAATTATAAATTATAGTGTAAAATACCATGTGATGTTGAATGATATACAGAAAGGAACACCAAATTTTCAGAAATCAACGCACTGTAAAGTGATATTGTGATATTTTGTTAGACACTCTTAATTTTCCTACCAAATGTAAAGTGCAAACCTCATTATCATTTAATTATTCCATCATAATATTCTTTCTAAGATCTACTTAAATTTCAAGAGCAATCACAAAGCATTCAAAATATCGCAACCTAATCAACAATAATAGGCCGTTTCACCATGAGAGAACAAACCCACTCAAATTATTTTTCAAACTAAGCTTTTAACACTAAAATAGTAGTGCCACTAATTTTGCACACTAAAAATGAAACCCTAAGTCATCGTCAAAGATTAGACGGAGAGAGAGAGAGAGAGAGAGAGAGAGAGAGAGAGAGAGAGCCTACCTGATGAAGAACAATCGCTGATTTTGCCGGTGCTGTTGGATATGATTTCGCCGGCGCCATTGATTAACGGGACAGCTGAAGAGAGCGTGTAGAGAGAGACAAACAGTAAGAGAGAGAGAGAGAGTGTGTGTGGGAAAAAGTATTAGAAAAGTAAGGGAATTAGACAGAAAATAACTTAAGTTTCCGACTACAGTAGTCACAAAATAAGGTCTGACAATATTCCGACTACTAAGGTCGGAAAATATACATTATTTAATTATTTTTTTAAAAAAACATTTCAGCTACTACGGCCGGGACCATTTGGTCAAAAGTTGTTTGGCTTTCCTATATAATATTCCGACTACGGTAGTCGAAAAATTCTATGCACGAAATGTTCCGCGAAGATTTACGATTATATTAGTCGAAAATATAGTCGGAATAATTCTTAGAAATAAATAAATAAAAAATATATGAGATTTCCGACTACAGTAGTCAGAAATTTACGACTCACATTTTGTAGTTGGCAAAAAAGGTATTTTCTGGTAGTGAAGCATTACAACTTGGAGTCCATAACCCATTTGTGGTTGTTTTTGCCAAGTAGGATGGAAATGCGTGTAAAAAAAAAGAGTTACCTAACTATATATAACGTTCTTTTAAAGAGCGCTATACCTTAACAGACGTTTTGGATGTTAAGGTATAACGCTCTTTAAAAGAGCCCTTATAAACCGCGTTATGCTTGGGCTGATAAAAGCGCTATATGTATAATGTTGTTATATAACGCGCTATACATAGATAAAAACGGCCCCCTTCCCTTCTTCCCCACCAGTCCCCTTCCCCTTTAGATATTGGGCCTCAAATATCGAGCCTGGAACCCATAAATATATACTCTATCCAATTAAATATTATATAACTTTAAAAATTAATTATTTAATTTACAGATCAAACATACAAAATTATGAAAATAATAAAATTGACACATACAAGAATTCAGGATAGCTTGGTGCTACTGGGCCTCAAATATCGAGCCTGAAACCCATAGATATATACTCTGTCTAATTAAATATTGTATAACTTTAAAAATTAATTATTTAATTTACAGATCAAACATATAAAATTATGAAAAGAATAAAATTGACACATACAAGAATTCAGGATAGCTTGGTGCTAGTGGGCCTCAAATATCGAGTCTGGAACCCATAGATATATACTCTGTCCAATTAAATATTGTATAACTTTAAAAATTTATTATTTAATTTACAGAACAAAACATACAAAATTATGAAAATAATAAAATTGACACATACAAGAATTCAGGATAGCTTGGTATTACTGGGCCTCAAATATCGAGCCTAGAACCCATAGATATATACTCTGTCCAATTAAATATTGTATAACTTTAAAAATTAATTATTTAATTTACAGATCAAACATACAATTAATGTTGTTTAATTTACAGTAGACGACATGAACGTGCCGCCTATGCATTCCGGACCTTTCTCCGATGAGCTATTAGTGTTACAGGGCAATCATAGGTCCGCCCACGTATAGGAGGGAGAGTTACTGGCCTAGACTCTCCGCGCCAGGAGAGTGAACGACATGTGGGATTTTATGAAGGACAGATATCTCCAACCCCATGTAGTCCAGCGCCTGCGGGTTACTGGTTTCTACAGGATTTTGGAGATCGGACGGCTGCAGCTCGACTGGTCTTTGGTCACGGCCCTGATAGAGCGGTGGCGACCAGAGACACACACATTCCACCTGCCCATTGGCGAGGCCACTATCACGCTGCAGAACGTGGAGGTTTTATATGGGCTACCCGTTGATGGACTGCCCGTTGCACTGCCTCAGGCCATAAGAGAGATGACGCGTGGGCAGTATTTGGACATGCTGCAACAGCTCACTGGTTTCGGGCAACAAGATGAGACTGCACACTTAGGGGCAGTCGCATGAGTTTGACAGCGATTCGACAGCATTTGGAGATATTGCTCCCCGACATCACTGGCGAGACAAATGATCTGCATATTCACCGGTATACGAGGTTGTTACTGCTCCTTATGTTTGGAGGGTTCTTGTTCCCGAACACTTCGGGGAACCTAGCCAGCTTGAGATTTCTTCATCATCTTGAGCGGCTAGATGATTTACCCCAGTACAACTCGGGTGCTTCTGTTCTCGCCTACTTGTACAGGCAGATGTGTCGGGCGAGCATGGGCACCCAACATGACGTTTGTGAATTTTTGCCGCTGCTACATGTGACAACATATTCGAATACTCTATTAACTATAACATATGTAGTAAAAATTAATCTTAAATTTTACGTCAACTTTGTATGTTAGGTTTGGGCCTGGGAGCGGTTCCTGCAGTTGCAGCCACCTCTACTACCATTTCCTCCGGATGTACTACCTCCGTTTCTCCCTCTAGCTAGGAGGTGGGTTCTCCATCGGAATAAAGACAAGAGAAATCAAGTCAATATCCAAGTTGTAGTAATTCCCATTGAATGTGTCCATTTCACATCTGTGGGTGGGAATATATTTACCCACTTTCCACAGACATGTGTTCTTCATGCTCGCACCCAGCATCCGATGACAACCCGTAAACCATCTGCGGCAAACAACCTTGTATACATCCGGACTTGACTCCCATACCGTCATCTCACGACACTCTTTTACGTTGTACATTTTCGCAGCCCTGCTTAGGCGCACTTTATCTGGAAAAATCATGCCCTTTGCCAGCACCGTTGGTCTAGAATCATCCCACATTGCTGTCCGAATTTCATCAAAATCCCTTGTCAGAGCATCTACATCCGGCATACTTGGCAAATGATCAAGGTAGGGAATCTTCCTTGAATGAAACGACACTTGGGACTCGTACACTCTTGGTCTAACGGGGGGTGGAGCATACTCCCTCGTCAAATCAGGTCCTTCATTCTCTTCCTCCTTATCACCATCCTCACGAGGGAAGGGTGTGTCGTCTCCGAAATCATCGGCATTGTTGTCATAATCAATGTTTTCTTCCTCACTCTGTGCATCTTCCAGATCCCGATTTAATATATCGTCTTTGGGCAATTGAGTCAGGACAGGTGGTTCAACTTACTCGTTTTTACTGCACAAACAACAAAATAAACATCATTACTGAAATTAATAAATACTTTTCATATAGCTGTATCACTTCACTTACAAGTCATAATGTATTGACATTCCTTGATGGACATTATCCTGTTGGTGATGACTCCCGGATGGACCACCATGATCCAACACACCAGAACTACGCATATTCCAACTGGCCGTGGGTTCATAACTTGTAAAAGTCATATCTGGCCGGTACCCCCTGTGAAATATATGAGCGTTAATACAAATTCAATACAACAAAAATATACATCGTAACACAAAGGGAAATTGAAGTTTACCACTCGTCTTGTGGATTATGTAAAGCAAGAGAGAAATTATTTCCTCGCTCCTCATTCGCCGATGGTGATAAGTTTAAATCGGGGCAAACTCGTTCATCCGGAACCTGTTCGACAAAAACTGCTCCAGAATAACCACCCGATGACTGAGGGTTATCCCTACTATGCGCAACCTCACTATTGCGAACGTCTTCGATCTTGACGTACATTTCCAACATTTTTATCACAAGAAATTCTCGGTATTCATCCGGAGTCCTCAAAAACTCCCTCAAGGTTTCATCATCGTCGATGTTAAACTCAGCTTAACAAGAAATTCCTTATGGAGTGACGGAATACGGATATCTTTCGGTTACTTTAAGGTTCACCGAACGTTTCCTCACACTCATTTTATTACATAAGAACGATACCAATCTATCGTACTCCATTGTAAGTGGTAACTTAACATGACACTGTGGAGATAAACTATAGCTCACAGAGTTATTCGCCACCACAACCTCACTCCCCCAATATAATGAAACCCTTATTTTCTCTCTTCAGACATTATGTAAAAATGCTCGAGAATTTAATAAGAAGAAAAATTTGAGCGGGAGTTAGGTATATTTTTGAATGGATTTTTATAAAATCCTAACGCCTTTAAATAAGGCAATGCGTAGCTCGGGGGGCTGAATTTTTTTAGGTATAGCGCTCTTTTAAAGGGTACTATACACATTTGAATTTATGTCAGTTAAACGCAGGAGACTTATTTGTGGGCCCACAAAACATGTATAGCACTTTTTATACCTGCGTTATACATATATAACGCGGTTTATAAGGGCGTTATATATAT